TGAACTTGTATTGTGCTGCTTTGTGTTTCAGCTCAGCCAGTTCTCATGAAACAACAAGTCGAGCGTGCGCAAGGACTCGTGGGACAGAGTATGGTCCTGTCCTGCAACCCTCCAAAAAGCTCGCCTCCTCCCAGCATCCACTGGATGAACATAAGTGAGTGTGCCGATCTGTTTCCTGTCCCGTCCGTCAGCTGCCAGCCTCTGTGACACACAGACTCCTTATGTCCACTCTGCCTCCTTTTTTCTATGACTGACCTTCTCTGACTTTTAAGTTATCAGCTTATTGAGGCTGCGGTGCAACAAAGCGAGGTGCTTGTTGTGCATTTTAAGAGCAAACTAACCGATTTAATTTTACACTGACATGAAAAACATTTTCACCTCCCACTGCAGTTTCCATGCTTTGAACTTTATTTCCCGCCTACATTAAACTGTCTCCGTCCCGGCTCAGATTTGATGCACATCACTCGGAGTGAGAGAGTGACGATCGGCCTGGACGGGAAGCTGTACTTCGCGAACCTCATGAGGAGTGACAGCAAAGAGGACTACATCTGCCACGCCCAGTACAGAGAGGCCAGGACTATTCTACCTGCCACGGCTGTCTCCCTCTCTGTCAGGCCGAGTGAGCGCACACACAACGCAGCGCACACACAACACAGCGCACACACAACACAGCGCACACACAACACAGCGCACACACAAACTGCAAAGTGTTAAATGTAGAAATAAGAGAAAAAGTGAGTCAGAGCATCACACTGTGTGTGTGCGGACCATGATCACGCTCTGTGTGAGGTAACATCAGCCAGAACAGTGAGGACGCGTAAAACTGTCCTGCAGTGTCTATTGTTAATGATGTCATGCAGGCTACACTGTAACACAACTGAGACACCAGCGTTTGTTCCACTGAGTATCACTATGATGACACGTATATGCTCAGTAACCAGATCACAGTCCTGCCCTGTAGGCTGTTTGTTTCATTTCATCATTTATTGTTGCAATAATCAGCATGATCGTGATGATCAAGCTTCACAGTTTCTGTCCTGATTTCTTCACATCCTCCAGGTAACAGCGTGGCTCTCGGAGGAAAACCCGAGTTCTTCCACCACAGGAACCACTCCCAGATATCAGCCCTGAAGGGGAACAGCGTCACCCTGGAATGTTTACCCAGAGGCCTGTAAGCATCTCAGTGTGTGTGTGCATGTGTGTGTGTGTGTGTGTGTGTGTGCTTCCACCTTCAGTTTGTTTACATGTGAAACCCACCTGGTTCACTCTTTCAACACACTTTATCCCCAGTTGCTGCTCTCACAACACTCAGCTGTGCTTTTCTGCTACAGCCACACACAACAACAACAACAACAACAACAACAACAACAACA